TATATATATATATATGTTACACGCCACTCACACAAACACATGGACACACACACATAAATGCACACAAAATATGGACTGCTTCTTCAGTTTGTGTCATCCACGTCCAGGGTCCATACACACACTCTCTGAACCATTCCAGCTTTAACACATATGTTGTCAAAGCAAGAAGTTTCCTCAGCTTTAAAATGAAGAACTGACCAAGGAGATAACTCCAAAATATCTGTCCGCCTAGAGGCACATCCATCTCTATTTCTTTAGTGTGTATGAAAGCTCGTTCTTCAGATTCCCACGGTGTCCTTGAGTAACAGCTGCATCTAAGTATGAGTGTTAGCACCGAGTGTGAGATGGCTCCAGTTGATGCGGTCTCCCCTCCACACCACCACAGAAGAACAAGTGTGAAGAGAAAGTGGGTGGTTTGTACTAGTGGCCAGGTTTGCGGAGCAGCAGATGGCAGTTGACTTCAGGGGGTTTGCCCACCAGGAAATAAAACCCTGGTAGGTGAATCTTGAATAGGTGAGGTCCCAAGACCACAGTCCTCAGAATGTCTGGCTTTAGCTGTGCCTTCCATCTTCCTCTGGTATCTGACATGGTGTGAATGCATGTGGGGAGATCCCCACTGCCTGTAATGTAGTGTGTTTATCTAATAGAAGCATCCCATTCTACTGGGAAATTTTACCTGTGAATTATTATGAAGATTATTTTCTCCTAAACTGTACTGTTTAACTGAAACAATGAGTTTATATAATAATAGTGTTAGTTTAGATAGGATTTTGATGAGTGAGGGTCTTTAATAAATATATATAGTAAGGGATTATTATAGAGGTTAGTTTAGTGGAAAAATTAATATTGGTAAAAATAGGATAAATGTTACCCCTACCTCTGATAAAACAGAGGCTGCAGAGTATAAAAAATAAAACAAGGAAGTGTCACACAGCAAGAACACATGAGTTTCTATTAAGCAGCCATATAAACTGTGGCTTAGGTTAATGATTAAGAAAAACAATTGATTCTCAGTAACACAGTTAGCTTAAATTATTTAAATCTTAATGTTGGGCACTGAAACAAAGCCTTAGAATGATATCAGATTAAGATATTTTGATAACAGTTTTGAGGTTACAGATCAAAAAACAAAGCAGCCCAATTATTACTAGCTGACATACTTTTCTTGTGAGGTTCAGTTGGTGAACAAAGATGATTAATTTCTTGTAAAAAAAATTCATGGTAAATTCAAGCCAGAAAAGGTCAATAATTGGCCTGCCCCCCCCCCCCCCGCCCGCCAACATGACTGTGAATTCGCTCAGTAGGATTGGCTGCCACTGATAGGTCACCATTGGAGGGACTTTAACCTCAAATGTACCAAATCTGATTTGTAACCCCTGATTGGTTCTTTCTTCCTTGTCATAACTGGCACACAGTAGCCTCAAAATATGCTTAATAGTAATTTTTGACAAGTTTTTTTTTTTAAAGATCCAGTCAGTCCTGCCTCAACTTGGTATACCAGATTTTGTTGACTCCCCAAGTGGGCCTTACCCCTTCTGAGGAGTAGATAGGGGTGTTATGGGAGAAGCTGGGGTGAGAGAAGGGGAGAGAGAGGGAACTAGGGCTAGTATGTAATATTTAAAATTTTTTAAATAAAAAAGATCATGAAATAACAACAGCAACAAAAAAAGACCCATCCAGGAGTGATGGTGCACACGTCTAATTGCAGCACTGGAGAGACAGAGGCAGGCAGATCTTTGTGAGTTCAAGGCCAACCCAATCTACATAGTGAATTCCAGGACAGCCAGAGCTACGGAGTGAGAACCTGTCTCAAAAGAAAAAAAGCAAAATAAAATCAAACAAGTCCAAAAACCTTGCCCCCTGTGATTCTCAAAGTGTGAGACTAGGACAGTCAAGTCTCAAGTTTCCGGCCTACTTTTGTGAGTTGTTCTTGCCCAGCCTCTACAGAAATCAGTGTGGAAATTCTTCAAAAAGACTAGTGCTATATCTACCACAGGGTTCAGCTACACCACCTCTCAATCCTGATCCGCGTGGCTCCACATGGACACACCAGAGATTGGCACATCCATGTCAATACAGCACCAGTCATGGTAGCTGAGTTTTGGAACCGATTGAAGTGCCCACCAACAGGGAAACGAATTAAAAAAAAAAAAAGGGCATGCGCACACAGTGGGTTTGATTCCACCATGAAGGAGAACAAAACTATGCTCTTTTCAGAACGTGGGTGCAACCGGAGATCTTCATAACAAGAAAATTAGATCAGACTCAAAATGACAAAAATCATGTTTTCCGTCAACTGTGAGTCCTAGGTTTTACACAGATACATAAATTCATCCATGTATTTATAACATGGAAGTGATGTGGGAACTGTCTAGCAAAACAAATGAGTTTAATGGAAGAAAAAGAGGGGTTGTGGGTGATACAGATAGAATACATTCAACATATACTAAATTCTTGTCATGAAATTTGTTATGTAGAATGAATAGATACCAATTTTAAGTATTTTTGCAGTAATAAAAATACATATTCCCTCCCCAAGAATACAAATGAGGCCAGGAATTGCATTAATTGTAACGCCTTAATCCCAACACTCAGGAGTCAGAAACAGGCAGAGCTCTGTCACTTCAGGCCAATCTGGTCTACATAGCAAAATTCAGGACAGCCAGGGTTGCATAGAGAAGAAAGGAAGGAAGGAAGGAAGGAAGAAGGGAAGAAGGAAGGGAAGGAGGGAAGGAGAGAGGGAGGAAGGGAGGGAGGGAGGGAGGGGGAGGGGAGAGGAAGGAAGAAGGCAGGGGAGGAGAGGGGAGGGCAGGATAAGGCATACAATTTTTAAATTATCCAGATTGAAATGGATAGACTTCTTCTACTATAAAAACACAAAACTCAGTCAGCACTACTCAGTTCCCTAATCATGTTTCCAAGGATGTGACTCACCAGCGTGCTCTTCTGCGCCTCGGCTAGCTTCGTTGCGATGAAGTACTGAATTGGAGCAAGAAGCACAATGACAGCAGCACCAACCAGCGCACTTGATCCAAGCAAATTATACAGCAGGATTACTCCCATTATGATCTGGGAGGGAGCACAGAAAGAGAGCGTGAGCCAACTGTGGGAGCCAGCCACAGGGGCAATGTCATTAGTGATAATGGACACTCTTAATTATCTTAATCATCATACAAAGTTTATTTGGGGATCAACTCAGTGGTGACAGTTGGGTTTTGCTAAGATTTCTTTGTGCAGCTGAGTGGTGGGAATATATTTTTAGTGTTTCGATCTGTACAACTGGTGTCAAGCTGGGCTTTTACATGAAGCTGCAAAACAATCTCCTGGTGTTGTTTTTGACCAGATAACACAGACGTCAACTTGAAAAGATTTTAAAGGGTGGAAAAGGCTGTCACTCATCATAACCTTGATATTCTAGGTTCCCTTGGAATTGTACTAAATTTTCAGAGTTGTGGAAAGAAAGTACTGGCAGCATTTCACATGAGAACAGGAGGGCTGTTGGGGAACAGAGTTCCCTACTTAGTGTCTCCAAAAGTCATTTAAGACAAGAAAGCTAGGACTAACCAAACCTGTGAAGACAGCTGGGTGTGATGACACTAGCCTTTAGACCCCAGCACTAGGGAGCTGGTGTGGGACAATGGTTTGTATTCTGTCAATTATGTTTTAAATAAATGCTGATTGGCCAGTAGCCAGGCAGGAAGTATAGGTGGGACAACCAGACAAGTAGAGGCGGGTCAATGAGAACAGGAGAATTCTGAGAAAAAGGAAGCCCAATCCTCAGCAGTCCTGGCCCAGCCACAGAGCAAGCAAGATGTCACTGCCTTGCTGAATAAGGTACTGAGCCATGTGGCTAACATAGACAAGAATAATGGGCTAATATGAGTTTTAAGAGTTAATAAGAAGCCTGAGCTTAATTCTGTCAAACTCCCACCAGTGTTTGGCCAATCAGTTTAGTTAATGTAGACAGACCTCTGAGTGATTTCTTTGGGACTTAATGACAGCAGGAACCGGGAAGGACAGAAACCTCAGACAACAGGGAGCTGTGGGCAGGAAGGTTGCTGTGGGTTCAAGACCAGCTAAGAGTACATAAATAAGCTCCAATCCAACAAACAAACAAAACCAACCAATTACAAAGGCTCCCAAGCTACTTTATTGCATTCATTTTTCTTTTTTTTTAATCCATTTTTTATTTTTGGTTTCTGGGAGGGGTTCCCAACTTGCTACATAGCTGAGGCTGGCTAAACTAGCCGAGGCTGGTCCCATGCTTGCTCTCCATTACGCTCAAACACTTGTATTTTATGAATTTGAATTTCCACTAAAAACAAATTATAAATAATACATTTAAGAACTTGCATTTTATTGTTTTATTACTTTTAATAAATGTAGATACAGTGTGAGTTTCAATTTAAAGATGAGACTTTTGAAATAATGAAAAATGCCCCACATGGCAATCCAGAAAAAAATCTGGCAGTGTTTCTTTGGCCAGTTTTATCCAGGGGTCTGAAAACCCCATATTTTAAAAGCCTCACTTAAAATGCTACTTTATATAATATATAACTAAGTAGCACTTCAGCTTGTCATGTTTCAACTACCCAGTTAAAGCCATGGGATGTTTTGAAGTGACCACTCGAGTTCAGAAATGCTGGTGGGAGTTTGACAGAATGAAAGAGTCCAAACCTGGGTGTGGATGTGAACAGTAAATTCAACAGCCAGTGGATACTAGGTGCTATGAAACGTTAGACCCTCTTTCCAATGCTTTGGCCCCAGTGACTTATTTGAACTTGACAACTTCCACAGCTATGCCAAGAAGATATGTGTAGTCTGCCCATTGTAAAGTTAAAGAAAGCCAAACTTTGAGGGGTGCAACAGCCATGCATGCAAGGGGCACACAGGCACTGGAATTTAAGCAATGTAATCCCAAATCAGACTTTTTTTAACCTGCTCACATTCCTTAGTCTCATATTCCTTGTCTACAAAACTTGCCAAAGGACACTAGAACATTCGAACAGTAAACCCCTTCCTGAGCCAAGCATTCTCATCTCTGTTTGTTCTATTTCCCCTTCCAATGAGTGTCTTATGTGTATTGATCTACCTGAACAGGCATGGCCCACAGATTGGGACACAGGAACAAGAACCACATGAGCTGATTGGTTTCTATGGCAACCAAGTTGTTGATCTGTCCCAGGGTCATCTCACCCATGGATAGGTTGGAAGTGGAGAGCCGAAGGATTTTATTGTATATCATAGCCTACGAGGAGAAGGGAAAGATGAATGCCAAGCTTCAAACTTAAATCCAACACTAATTAGTTACTTCCATTGGAAAAACAATTATTTTAAGTTTTTGAAAATTTACAAGTCTCTCTATCTTCTTAAACTAATCATGTTTTTAAATATCAACTCGTATTTCCTAGGATTATAATTAAAACCTACACTCAACTTTAAACATTATGTTCGTGAATAAACAGACAAAGGGTGGTAAATGCAAGACTTTTGAAATATCTTTCTCAACGTGTTATTTTGAAAGTTCCCCCACACATTAAGTTCGTGTTTCTTTCATGAAGTAGAAGCTACAGATCTGGAAGCCAAGAGGGTCTATGAGAAGGGAGGGGGAAGGGGCTGTAGGAAGGGGGAAAAGGTTCAAAGTTGGGGGTTGGAGAGGGTAAGTGAATATGTGTGACTCAGAAACAGGAGGGGCTATTTTCAGGAGGTGAAAGGTACCAGCAAGAGAGAGAGAAAGAGAGAGAGAATAATGAAATGTGCATAGAAAATGTTACAATAAAGTCCATTATTTTATATGACACATTTTAAAAGAAGTAGATCCTAGAAGTTTACTGCCACAATATCAAACAAAGTGGAGTGGCGGCATTCCCTCCCTGTTAGTGGTCTCACCCATACACAGTGCACAGCATTTACGAGACACAAAGGTCCCTGTGGTCTACATACCAGCAGCGCCCCGCGGAGGTTGATGCCAGTCTCTATGGTCACATAGTAGGACGCCTGCAGAAACGTCCTTTGCAGGATAAGGGCCAGGAAGAGCAGGACTGCCAGCACGTAGGCGTTGTCCAGGAATTCCTTCGATGAGAGCGTCTCTGAAATCTTATCCCAGAGAAGGAGAAGAAACCAAATTAAAACCAGCTTTTTCATCTACCAGACGTATAATTTGTATTTCTTAAAGGATACATGATTTTCAATTTAACTCAATGTTCTTACAATGAAGACATCTATCTCCCTTGAGACGGGCTCTCTTATTGGTCTGAAGTTCACCAGGTCAACTAGATTGACTGGGGTTGAGCCCCAGGGGCTTTCCTGTCTCCATTTCCCCAGTGCTGCCATGATAATCATAAATCACCAGGCTGTTTTGCTTGTCAGTCAAGAAGTTGACTGACTGAGCTACCCTTGCCCATGGTCTTTAACATTATACACAGTTAACTTCTTCCAGTTTCCATGTATCCTAATTCGTGCCTAGTGAGACAAGTGTTAAAACATGTCATTCATTTCACCTGTGTCATATCCAGGAAGAAACGGTGACTTGTGAAAATTTGTCTCAGAAGGAAAATGACTGACCCCATCAGAGGGACAAGAAAATACATGGCTACAGTCAATGAAGCACACAGCATTACTAAAGTCAGGCTCCACCTTTTATTATTGAAATCTAGTATTGTGCCGGAGTCTAGAAAGCACACAGATTTTGTAGTTTCAACTCCTTCGTAGTCCCCGTCTCCTCCTCCTCCTTTTATTGTGGTCAATAAGTGAATGAACATGTAATTGGAGGCGAAGTGTAAAACCGCAAGCAAATTTTGTGGCTTCAGAATGGCCGTTCTAACTGCAGCAAAGTCTGAGGAGATGGATGGAGTTAGGGACTAGGCAAGCAAGCGTTTGTTCAGATGACGAACTTGAGCTAAATATGTGACGCTGTTATTTGTGAGGGGATTTCAGTAAAGTGTATTTATTTGTTTGTTTGGTTGGTTGGTTTTGGTTCTTTGAGTTAGGGTTTCTCTCTGTAGCTTTGATGCCTGTCCTGGAACTAGCTTTGTAGACCAGGCTGGCCTCAAACTCATAGAGATCTGCCTGCCTCTGCTTCCTGAGTACTGGGATAAAAGGTGTGCGACACCACCACCTGGTTTAATAAAGTGTTCTTTTTAATTAGTAAGATTTTTACTTCTATTGGCTTCTTCATCTGTCTTCAGCATGTGAACCCCCACTCCATTCTCCAAGCCCTAGTTCAGGCATGTGAACCCCCACTCCTACCCCACCTCCATTCTCCCAGTCCTACTTCAGGCATGTGAACCTCCACTCTTACCCCGACTCCATTCTCCCAGCCCTAGTTCAGGCATGTGACCCCCCCTCCACTCTTACCCCGACTCCATTTTCTTACCCTGCAGTTCAGGTGTGGGCTGTTAAGCCTGGATTTTTCTACACAGCTACTGAATAACCTAGTTCCTTATGCTTAGGTATCAAGCCCTTTCCTGACAGGAAATGGAGACAGGAGGCTCACTAGGGCTCAGTGGCCACCCAGTTTTAGTCAATTTAACTCAGTGATAAGCTTGTCTCGAAAAGCATTAAGGCGGAAGAATGATTGAGTAGAACACCCAATGTCAACCTCTGGTCTACACACACACATACGCTCACACATACATACATACTCACCTGAAAATACACATGCACACACACACACACACACAAAACAGCAAAGAAGAATATACACTATTAAAAACCACATTGCTCATACTGTTGCCACAGAGCTTTGAAACAGTGATTTAATGTCCTCACATCCTATTTAAAGATTACTATAAAAATCAAGTAAAATAACGAATGTGAAATTTTTGCAAAAAGTTTCTTACTCATGAAGGGTGATTGTGAAATATTTATAAGCTCCAATTCTTAGGAATAATAATTTTAATGGGTATTTACATTCATATAATATATATATATATAATTTTCTCTAGAAGGAAAATTATTAGTTTTACTTAAACATTCATTTTCTCTATAAAAAAAGCTTGCTTGAATTTCTCATATTACTACATTAATAAAGTGGCAATTACAATGTAATCATCCAATAATGTATTTCCTTTCTAAAGTACTGTGAGCCAGGCAAGATGGCTCAGAGAATAAAGGTGCTTGCCACCAAGACTGATGACCTGAGGCCAATCCCCCAGAACCACATGATGGAAAGAGAGAACACACTCTACTCCCATGACTTGTCCTCTGATCTCCACATGTTAGCTATGTCATTCACATGTCCACACACATACACGCTGTAGTGATCTGAGTAACAATGTCCCCCATAGGCTCCTATGTTTGAATACTGGAACCTAGTTTGTGGAACTGCTCAGGAAGGATTAGGAGGTGTGGCCTAGATAGAGGAGCTGTGTCACAGAGAGCAGGCTTTCAGGTTTCAATAACATGACACTCCCGGTTATGCATTTCTCTGCCTCATGTTCATGGATCAAGATGTTAGCTCTCAGCTACTGCTCCAACACCATGCCTGCCTGTCTGCTGCCATCATGATGGTCTCATGATGGTCACAGAGTCTAGCCCTCTGGAACTATAATCATCCAACAAACTATCTTCTATGAGTTTCCTTGGTCACGGTGTCTTCATAGCAATAAAAAGTAACTAATGCAAACACAAGCTAAATAATAAAAAGAAAAACATGAACTTACTCCTGCTGTGCTGTTTGTCTTGTTCTTGGTTTCATTCACACTCTGGACTATTCCAGAAATACAGAGAGGACCAGCAAACCCCAGCAAGTCAGCTAAGTATCGGAACGTGCTGCTCAGTAAGATTGGTCTCCCAAAAGCTCTGTACATGGCCAGCCATATGGATGGGGTTCGATTCGGATGGTCTGCAACTTTTTTCTGAAACAAACAAGAGACCCAAGTAAAACCATGAAGCAGCAACTGACAGTGATATGCTTTCTGAAATCCCAATGATATTGTAAAGACCTAAAAATAATTGAGGAAATTTCAGTGCAACATGGAAAATTCTGCATCCTTGCATCTTATAAAGATAGTAGCTATCAGACCCTCCACAATGAAACAGATACAACATAGTATATAAGCTAGTTCTTCTATATCTCTGCATTATTTTTAGTTGTCAAGGGATGACAGGGGATTCTTATGGACAAATTCATATCTAGTTCTGTTGAGCTTGGAAAATATGTATCAGTCATGAATATAACCAAAGAAAATCATATAAAAAAACAAGATGATGAGAGATAAGGTAAGGTGTTATGAGGCTCCAACCATGTATTTCCTTTCAAAAATACTGTGAGGGGGATAGGCAAGATGGTTCAGTGAGGTAAGGTGCCTGCCACCAAGCCTGGTCACCTGAGATCAATCCCCAGAATCCACTCCTACAAATTGTCCCCTGATCTCTACATATAAGCTATTGAGTGCAAGTGTCCACACACATACATATTATAGAGATTTGAATAAAATGGCGCCATAGGCTCACATGTTTGAATATTCAAATATGTTTGAATTTTGTATTCATAAAAGGTTCCCAGTCATAATCCCTTAAGCTAAAATAGATGATCTCCCATGATTTGTCTTTCACATTTTCTTAGCTTCATGAAGAGTAGTAGTCAGTTCATTTTTAAATTGTTGGAGACTTGTGTTTGAAAAAGAAAAAATGGATACATGCTCAAAGTAAGCATTGAATCACACATTGGCCATCTTTTGTTAAGACTTTAAGGCCTGACTGTCTATGGTGGCAATGAAGACAACTCAATGGAATAAAAGGCTGGGGCATAGTTTAGCTGGTAAACCACTTGCCTTAAAAGAATGAGGACTTGAGTTCAATCATCAGAAATCACATGAAAAAAGCCAGGCATTGTGACTCAGATTCCTAACACTAGGGAGGCATCCCTGGGGCTCACTGGCCAACCAAAATACCTCACAGAGGAGTCCTGTGTCCTGCTGAGAGACCCTGTCTCAAAAAACAGATGGAAAATCTCCTAAGGCAACCTATGACTATTATATGGCCGCCACATGCATGCAAACACACACAATGGAATAGAATTTGTCTTTCCTATTCAGTTGCCCTTTAGAGTCAGTGATTTCTTCATTTTCTCTGGTTTACTCACAGTACATGAGCATGGCAAATTCAAGCTATACATAGAAATTGTGCAGGAAACCTGAGGTAACTTTAGTCTATATTTTACATATTTACTTTAGCAGAGAAATGTACACACTTTGATACAATACTTTCCTCAAGGGAAACCAGAAAAATGACTCAGGCCCATTCGAAGCAACCTTCTTCTGCAATAGCAATTTCAAAACACAGAATTCTGATATACGAGGTTCATTTACCATAAACACTTAGCTAATTTTCATTTATAGTTGCCAAAAATAGCTCTTTAACTGATTCAGCATGCAAGATTCCCTTTCATCATTATGAATACCAACATTTTACAGACAGTTGTAACCAAATACATCTACAACTATGTGTCATCACACCCAGGACTGTTTGAAATGGTAACAAGACAAATTTCAAATTTCCAAAGGAATAAGTAGGATTGAGATGCACTGTATACATGTATGAACTTGTCAAAGAATAAAGCAGGAGTATTTTTATAATGAAATATCACTTATTTTTAATATTTTAGGAAATTATTAAAACAAAAAAGTTCTAGAAGCAGTCAACTTTTGAATACATTTATGATAATATTTAAAATAAGAGTTGACACTCCTTTAATATCTATAGTTTCCAAGTCTGAACTGCAGGACCAATTTGTTAATAATCAATATGAAATATCAGAGGTTATTAGTGCTGGGCCTGGTGGCACATCCCTTTAATCCCAGCACTCAAGAGGCAGAGGCAGGCAGATCTCTATGAATTCAGGGCCAGCCTAATCTACAAAGCAAATTCTAGGACAACTAGGACTGTTACAAAGAGAAATCCTATCTCAAGAAACCAAAAGAAGGGCAAGGGTAATTATTAATGAACATATGTTGTGGGATATTACTTTAACTATGTAAATAAGTATTGCATTTGTTTATGCTGTATTTGTTTAACTAGGCAAAAATTGTTACATTTGTTTATGCTGCATTTATTTAACTATGTAAAGCTGTGTTGCTGTTTTACCTTACCTGCCTAAGCCTAAGGCATCTGATTGGTCTAATAAAAAACTGGGATAGCAAATAGCTAGGCAGTAGATGGATAGATGGGATTGGTGGGCAGAGAGAACTAGGAGGAGGAGAAATGTAGGTTTGAGAAGAGAGCAAAAAGAGAGAAGGGAGAAGGAGAGGGAGATGCCTGGAGTCAGCCAGCCAGACACAGAGTAGGATATACAGAATGAAAACAAAGGTAAATGCCCCAAGGAAAAATGTAGATGAAGATAAATAGGGTAAATAAAGCTATAAAAACTCCTGGGAGAAACATAAGATAAGGCTGAGCATTCATAACTTATAATAAGTCTCCATGTCTTGTTTGGGAGCTGGTTGGTGGTCCAGAGAGAAAGCCTACTATAATATATAGTATATTATAATATATGATATATAGTATATATATCATATTTTAATCATAATTAGAAAAGTTATTCCCAAGATACTTGAGAAGAATTAAAATGTATGAGCTATTAATATTCTACAGTAACAGGTTAGTTACATGGGGTCGCTCAACTTATTATGTTTTAAGTGTATGGTCATTTTACCTTCTGTATGTTTGTGTACCATGTGTGTGCAGTACCCTCCAAAGTCGTAAGATGGCATTGGATCTCCTGGGAATGGAGTGATAGATGGGGATGAGCCATTCTGTAGGTGCTGAGAATCAAACCAAGACCTCTGGAAGAGCAGCAAGTGCTCTGAACCACTGAGCCATCTCTCCAGACCCTGAGCTCATTTAATGTGTACTTGAGCACGTGTCCTGGGGAAAAAACTGTGCCCCCACTGTCCTTCCTTATCTGACTAGGGACAACAATCATTACATCTTTTTACTCCAGTAGCCCTTCCTCTTTTTCCCTGGTTGTGTAATCAAGATAAAGTCAAACTACTGGGTGAGATAGATGGGGAAAAAAATCTATATTCCTTTGGCCAGATATTAATGAGCTTTGTACTTTCACATTTGCTGAGCCTTCTCTCTCTCTCTCTCTCTCTCTCTCTCTCTCTCTCTCTCTCTCTCTCTCTCTCTCTCTCTTCCTCTCTTCCCCCCTCTCAGGTTATAGATATCGAAGACAAATGCCATTACCTTTTGTTCTTCATAGGCATCCTTCAGGCAAACATAATTTGTCACCGCCCTCATTGCAATCGGCAACTTCCCAATCGCCTTCAGATCAATAGGCTTCCTGTGAGCAGATATGATTAGCGTGTTCATCCACCAGTACGTTGCTTTGGAGAGTAAATTCACAAATGGCTGGAGGAACCTCACACCCAGGTCCTGGAGGTCTTCGGGAGGCTTCACTTTCTGAGGATTCATGAAGAAAACATATCTCTGCAGGAGGAAGAATTCCACAGTGTGACCTTTAGCTTACTTCTCTCTCCACAGACTAAAAGTAAAACCACAACCTTTCCCACATTTTTGTTTAAGGCAGCCAAAACTCATGTTTTAATTTATGGTTCTTTCCATTGCATTCTGAAATATCCTTGCAATGTTTCTCCCTTACTTTCCTTAGACTAACCAGCTAGTTGTCAGAATTCCATATTGAAACCATTTGGAGACAATTCTGAAATATTAATTAGTCCATTAAAAGAACCTATTTTTATCCTATGATAGGGGTAATATAATGAAGATCGCTCTATCAAATCATTGAGATTTTAGCACCATTGTTGAGTTACATGGTTTGGCTAACTTTTATTGTTTGTTATGCACATTCATTGCAGTGTGCATCGTTCTACTCATAAAGTTATTTGATAGAAAATAAATATTGAAAACTGTGTTAGTGCTAGTAGTATCTCACACAATGAAGCATTAAGAACCGAAAGTCCAGAAGAATTGAAAGCACAGGCTCTGTGTGCCTTAACTATGGTTTTAACTACTGCATGTTGGACATGTATCTAGTTACTACTATAGACTCCTCATCAGGGAAATGAGAAGAGTAGAGAAAACTATCTTCTCTATAGTCATCAAATTCAAGATTCATATTTTGATAAACCCAGACATGTCTTTGACCAGTCATGGATGAATAGTTCAATTACTACCTGTGCGAGCATAAATAGAGTCTGGTTCACACAGATTCTGAGACATTAACACACATGCACACACACACACACACACACACACACACACAGGCTCATAGAGGTAAATACTTGGTCCTCAGGTGGTGAAATTGTTTGGGAAGAATTAAGAGATGTGGCCTTGTTAAAGATGGTGTGTCACTGAGGGTGGGTTTCATAATTTCAAAAGACTGGTGCTATTCCCAGTCTCTCCGTCTGTCTGTCTGTCTGTCTGTCTATCTATCTATCTATCTATCTATCTATCTATCTATCTATCTATCTATCTATCATCTATCTATCATCTATCTATCTATCATTTATCTATCTATTTATGTATCTATCTATTTACCTATCTATCTATATCTCTGTCTATCTGTTTCATGTTTGTGGATCAAGATATAAGCTCACAACTACTGTTCCAGTGCCATGCCTGCCTGCCTGCCTGCTTGTCCTCCTACTTGCTTGCCACCATGCTTGCCATGATGAACATGAACTCTAATCTCCTGAAACTGTTATTACCCCTAGTAAACCCTTTCTTTTTTAAGTGTAACACAAATAAATCACATATCCTTTCTTTCACATACCCCCCACTTCAGAAACACTACCTATTCCTGTTTGGCTGTAGTCTGTAAGGCTGTGGTCTTAAGCGGCAGTCATCACACAAATGCCATTGGTACTCACTCTGACCCGGATGACGTTGATCTCCACAGCCATCAGCAGCCCATTCAAGATTACCATCACTCCTGTGATGCAGAAGCGCAGATCTGACACTCCCCACCCCAACTGCCAGTATTTGACCAACTTTATTGTCTTTGTGATAAAGGCCATCACCCAATATAGGAATAAAGCTGCAGAAAGAGAAAGGGGAAATGTAAAACCACTAACATTTCAACATAAATATATAGGATTCTGTCAGTCTCTAAAGTGGTTTGTCTATGTATACTCCTTAAGACCTTCAGTTACATAAAGAATTAACAACTTGTTATCTGTGTAATTTATTGTTTAGGTAGGAACATTGTAGTTCCTAGTGTGTGTGGATCATTGTTGGCATGGAATCACCGTGAGATTGATACAGCTGTGGGGCAGAGCTTCTGCTGTACTGTTAACCTTCAAGGAGGAAGAGATGCTTCTCAAACAAGTAGCTTTAAACAGCACAGCCATCTGCAGGACACAGAAACAAGCAATGACCCTGAAGAGCAGCCTAGTCCTTGACACCTAGCTCCTCACCACCACAGCCAGCATCATACCATGAATGCGAGTGAGAAGCAAAAAGATATCTATAGCTCTGCGGACACGAAAGTAGTCTGCTCTGTACTGGGGTCCTTACAATCGAATACAGGATAAAGATGAATCTAGAACACACCAGACAATCCAGTCTGGGTAACATTTAGCAGAGCCAGAATGCTTCAGAGTGCTCTCCTTTCCTCCCTGAAGCAGGGTGTACATTGGCTTCAACACTCAACATATATCAGGGATTTTAAGCTGAAGATGTATGCAGAAATGGAGATAAATTTAAGGGATATTACCAGACCAAATAATCCACTGTCTAAAGAGATTCACCTTAAATACTAGAAACAGGTTGAGAATACATGATGGAAAACTAGGAAGCATAGGATCCTGGAGAAACCATATTAACTATAAGACAAGTAGACTTCAGGATGAAATATTAGCTGGAAGAAAAAATGTCATTAATATTCTAATAACAATAAAAGAGTTTTTTGGTTTTGGTTTTTGTATTTTTGAGACAAGGTATCTCTATGTAACAACCCTGGCTGTCTTGGAACTTGCTTTGTAGACCAGACTGGCCTGGAACTCACAGAGATCTGCCTGCCTCTGCCTTCCAAGTGTTAGGATTATTAAAAGTGTGCTCCATCACACCCGGCCTTAAAAGGGTCTATTTCTCAACAATCAAATTATGAGTGGCCCAATGAAAACTTCAAGATCTAGACACTCTCAAGCATCTCATATTATTTGATGTCAGTGAAACTATCCAGTCTTTGGCGTTATAAGATCTACTCACCACCTTCAGACTATACCTTCACAATAACTGACCATGGAGCTGATAATTAGGAAGAAAGGCATAATAAAATCAAAACAAAAATGAGATATAACTCAGCAGTCAAAGCAATTATTGCATAAGCCGCCAGCGTGAGGACTGGGGTTCAGATCCCTAGACCCACATGAGTGCTGAGTGGTCTCAGTGAACCACCTGTATTTCCAGCACCCAGAGGGCAGAGACAAGGGACCCCTGGAGCAGACTGGCTAGTCAGAGCAGCTGTATTGGTGAACTCTTGGGTCATAGGAAAGGCTCTACCTCAGTGAATAAGGCAGAAGAGCAATGAGGATGATTCCTAACTTCCACCTGAGGCAGCCGCACACGTGCACATTTATGCAACTGCACCTATGCATTCATGTGTCCACACATATATGAACATGCATAGGCATCTGGACACAATACAAAAATGAAGGAAACAAAGCAACAGGAACCATTCATAGTATGGTTGTATTCATTTCACAATGTAATTAAATTTTAAAATAAAACTGGGAATGGTGATTCATGCCTGTAACCCCAGAACTTGGAACACTAATCAGATGCAAGAGAATCAGAAGTTTGAGGTCAACCTGAACTACATATTGAGACCCTTTCTCACACACACACAGAGAAAATGTCAAAAACAAAGTTGGAGAGATGACTCAGCAGTTAAGAGCACTGGCTGTCCTTCCAGAGGACCCAAGTTCAATTCCTAGAACCCACATGGTAGCTCACAACCATCTGTAATTCCAGGAAATCCAGTATCTTCTCGAGTATATACATGGTACACATATACACATGTCAGCAAAAATACCCGTACACATAAAATGAAAACAATAAAATAAAATAAACAAAAGTGTTACATTTTTTTAAAGTCAAGAGCAATGCCTGTCACCTCTGCTTGTTGCTAACACTTGACAGACACTTAACAACTTAAAACAGCCTACACTTGTCTGGCAGTTTTCACATGCTGTGAGTCGAAGCACATGTCATCTGGATTCTCTCAACAAACGCAAGTCAAGTGATGACAGCAGGACCTGCACTGCTGGTCAGCAGTGGACCAACGGACTTTGAACATTTGTCCTTGCCACATGTTGTTGGAGCCTCCTTGACCTCAGGAGAATATGTGACAGATTAGGAACGCCACGCACAGAAACAGAGCAGTCACCTCCGAGTCTTTCTGCTTGGGAAGCTAGCTAGATGTCTCCAAATGCTTAGAAATTTAACCGAGTATATCTAATAATCCATGTGAAAGGATAGTTCCTGTACACACTAGAAAACATTCTACGTAAATTCTACTTTATGTAAAAAATTAAGAAAAACTAAACTTAGAGTAAGATTATTGTTTTAGACATTCATTTTGCAGAGGTAGAAACCAAATCAGTGTTTCTACCTTAAAAGTTATGGGAAGGAGGACAAAGGAGAAAATCTGGAGAAAGAAGGCAGTGGATTGCAAATAGAAAAGGGCAGAACACTGAGACAGTGTGTCTGAACTAATGGGAGCTCACTAAACACAGCTGGACTGGGACTGAATGAGCATGGGATCAAACTGGACCCTCTGAATGTGGAGCCAATGATAATGGCACTGGGATTTGTCTCTACTGCATGTACTGGCTTTTTGAGATCCTATTCTATTTGAATGCACACCTTCCTAAGCCTGGATGGAGTGGGGAGGGCCTTGGACTTCCCACAGGGCAGGGTACCCTGCCCTCTCTTAGGACTGGAGTGGGAGGGGGAGAGGGTGAATCAGGAAGCAGGAGGGAAGTGGGAAAAGGGGAGAAAGTGGAAATTTTGATTGGTATTATTTATAAAGTAATAAAAAATTATCGGGAAAAAAATAATTCAGGGGAACAATTAAAAAAGAAAAGAACAGAACACAAAAATGAACAACTGATGAAAGACTGCCCTGAGGAACATTAGCAAGACCAATCAGAAAAGACCATAGCAGACTGGTAATTCCTTAATCAGGTTAGACAAAAAGGGAGACTAAAATGGCCAGCATTGGGAATGGAGGCAGAGATGTCTCTAGCTTCATGTTTTGTTTTCATCTGTAAGGATGATAACCAGGGACAACTTTCTGTTATCCTATCTGAAAGCTTATACCAAAGGAAATTGCTTAGAACCAATGACTGTGTGTGTGAAGTAAAGAGTCTTGCCTCCTAATAGCATCTTATAGCACTTGGATTTTAAGTGTATTGTGGTTCTCAAAACAAAAGTTAAAACTACAAACTTTCCAGAGAAAGCACGAGATAGTAAAGATTTAAACATAGGAAGAAATAACAACAGAAAACCATTGGATAAACTACACCACATCAAAATTAGATTTTTCTATTTAACAGGAAACCCAGTTAAAGATATGAGTTTGAATGTTCCACACCCGGAGGAAAATATTATGATGATGTCATGGTATTTAATACACGAAGAGTACTTCTACAACTCAAAGATAAAACACAACTTACTGAAAATAAGACAAAACATAACAACAACCACTTTAAAAAGATTGCAAGGATACCAACTCGACACCTCACAAAGACACAGCCAAGAAATCCATCAAATGGCACTCTGTGCTAGGAGCCAAGAAAGATGCATATTAAAGCCACAATAAGTTACTGGTATACACCCACCAGTCTAGATGCATGAGGTGCACCAAGCTCGCTGAGTCTGTGTCCGCAAGGAACTGAAAATGTAGCAGACTGTTAATGAAAATATAAAATGATTCAACAACTTTCGGGAAGCATCTGTTGGCTTCTTACTGATATAGACATATGCCTCTACCTGCCCTATGGCCCAGAAGTTCTCTCGGAAGTTTTTATTCTAAAGAAATAAGCTCATATTTTCACGAAATTTCATAATAGCCCTTTACTGTCCTAACAGCCCGACTCCAGACAGAGTCTGGGTATGCGTCAACACCACAGGGAAAAAAGAGTTTCTACAGAGGAATACTGTTCCACAGTTGATCCTAAGGACAAGACACTGACCAAAGTACACTGTAAATGAGCCTCACAGAATGATTCTGAGAGAAAGCAGCCCACATTGAAAGAGTTGAGAGTATTTGATTCAATCTGTGTGAAACTGGAGAACAAGCCAACCTCCTCATGGTGGAGGAAATCAGGATGGATGTTGTCTCTGTGCAGGCGGAAGGGAAGTGAGGGTAGTCTAAGACAGATGGAGGCTCCATGCTCAGCTGAGGGCGATGCTGGGCGGGGCTGATGGGCTACACATAGCTAACAGTTCAAGGCCTTTTAGCTTCAGGAATGCAAACTTTAGTTCACAGGAAGAACTATAGACAAAGGTTAACTCCAGTTAGGGAACACGTGGGTGTGTGTGTCTTTATGTGTGTAAAACAAGTAGAAAAATAAAGATTTGTGCTGAAACAAACAGAATGAACCCTAAACTGAAGAATTTTGGGCAGTATGTAAATGAGTACTTGTATAATTCTTTCAATTTTCTGCAGGTTTGGAAGTTTTCATCATGAATTTGTAATTGGAACAAATTCCAAGTTCATGATTTTAAAGTGAGCATTTTTTTTTTCTGGGATCAAATCTTTCTCTTAAAATGATGGGAAAGTAGCCCTCTCTTTTCATTGTATCGGTCCCTCATTTTAGACATAAACTAAAGCCTTGTCTCCCACCTACATAACAACTGTGCACTGATTTTGACTTCAAGTCCTTAAATACATTGTTAAATTATACATGTTCTTTTCATTTATATCCTGTAACTTAATTATATGCTTTCAAATATTTTTTTTTGTTGCCCATTAGAAATTCCCTGTAGTTACTAAAATGTCTTTGTCAGAGTTCAGGCTTTGGCAAACCTTTTGTGCTAATTAGATTCTCTTCCCCCAGCCATTTGTCAGGCAACCCAGAATTAAGCCATCAGTATTTTTTTATGAGCCATATTGACTGTCAACACCTTCTTGACAATAAGGCACTACTGTATATTTGATTTCTTCTTATAGTCTCCTGGTCAGTAGTCAATGGCATTTTCCCACATCAACCACATAAAATCTGAGGTCTTTGGGTAGTTCTAAGCTTGCGCTCCTACTAACACGTGATTGTGGTTCTAACTTTGACAGGTTCACAGGACCCTCAATTTCACCAGGGGCCCAGGATCATCTCAGTTGCGTCTTCATGACAATGTATGCAAAAATAGAAATATGAGTCAAAGTTCTGAGCCCAACCTACTGGAAAGAGTTCTATCATGTCACCATAAGGCAAAAGTGAAGTAAAGAGCATTCAACTCCCCATTTCTAGAGGTCAAAGGAGCCAGAGAAGCTAACTGGACAACCATAACCCCCATGCAGGAGAGGGCAGCTAAGCTTTGAGAGGCTGTTCCCCTTGACTGCAATCTTTTCAGCATGCTACAATGCTCACTCTGCTGCAAGTAGACGTCTGGGAACTCCCCAAGAGACCTACAGCAGAATGGAATCCACTGGCATCACCAGAGGGTGGGAAAGGCCCTTGGAAGTTGTCTCAAGACTCCAAGGCAAAGGGATACATGGAGCTATGTGAGATAACATGTTCACAGGGCCACTATGTGTTAAGCTCTGATGGTTAGAAAATGATTCTTTAGTAGAGTTTGAAGTCTGGAGTGGTGATGCCTCCAGAAGTTCATTTATTGTGCAGGGTTGTTTTGGCTATCCTGGGTGTTTTTGCTTTTCCAAATGAAGTTGAGTATTGTTCTTTCGAGGTCTGTGAAGAATTTTGCTGGAATTTTGAAGGGCATTGCATTGATTCTGTTGATTGCTTTTGGTAAGATTGCCATTTTTACTAAGTTAATTCTACCTACTCAAGAATAGGAGAGATCTTTCCATTTTCTGGTATCTTTGTCAATTTCTTAAAGATTTAAAGTTCAAACTCTACTATAGAGCTACAATATTGAAAACAGCCTGGTATTGGCATAAAACATACAGGAGGACCAATGGAGCCAAATCAAAGACCAGAACATCAATCCACACATCTACAAACACCTAATTTTTGACAAGGAAGCAAAACATATAAAATGGAAAAAAGAAATCATATTTAACAAATGGTGCTGGCATAACTGGATACCAACATATAAAAGAATGAAAATAGATCCATATCTATTGACATGCACAACACTCAAGTTCAAATGGATCAAAGACCTTAACATAAAACTAACCACACTGGACCTCATAGAGAAGAAAGTGGGAAGTATACTTGAATGCATTGGCAGTGGAGACCACTTCCTAAATATAAAGCCAGTAGCACAGACACTGGGAGAAACAATAAATGGGACATCCTGAAACTGAGAAGCTTCTGTAAAGCAAAGAACAAGACAAAACTGCAGCCTAAAGAATGGAAAAATATCTTCACCAACCCCACATCAGACATATGGCTTATCTCCAAAATATACAAAGAACTCAAGAAATTGGTCATCAAAAGAACAAAAAAATCCAATAAAAAATAGAGTACAGACCTAACATAGAACTCTCAACAGAGGAATCTAAAATGGCTGAAAGACACTTAAGGAAATACTAAACATCCTTAGCCATCAGAGAAATGAAAATCAAAACAACTCTGAGATTCTATCTTATACCTGTCAGAATGCCCAAGATGAAAAACACTTATGCTGGAGAGGATGTGGGGTAAAGGGAACACTCCTCCATTGCTGGTGACAGTGCAAACTGGTACAACCCATTTGGATGTCAGTACGGTGGTTTTTTCAGAAAAAATGGGAAACAACCTACCTCAAGATCCAGCAATACCACTTTTGGGTATATACCTAAAGGATGCTCAATCATACCACAAGGACATGTGCTCAACTATGTTCATAGCAGCATTATTTGTAATACAGAACCTGGAAACAACCTAAATGCCCCTCGACCCAAGAATGGATAAAAAAAAAAAAACAGTAGTACATTTGCACAATGGAGTACTACAGAGCAAAAAAAATAATGACATCCTGAAATTTGCAGGTAAATGGATCTATAAAGAATCATTGAGTGAGGTAGCCCAGATCCAGAAAGACAATTATCATATGTACTCACTCATAAGTGGCTTTAAGATATAAAGCAAAAAAAAAAAAAAAAACAGCCTACAGTCCACAACCCCAGAGAACCTAGATACCAAAGAGGACCCTAAGGAGACATACATGGATCCAGTCTGCATGAAAAGCAGAAAAAGACAAGATCTCATGAGTAAATTGGGAGTGTTGGGATCGTGAGGATGGTAGAAAGGGAGAAGGGAGGAAGGCAAGGGAGAGGAGAAAATATATTTCTCAATAATAACAATAATTAAAAAAGAAGGAATTGTCAACTGTTAGTACTCTCTCTAAAGTCTTGAATATTGTAAATTAGCACATGGAAAGGAGTGCTTTTTAAATTTATATGTTATTCTATAATATGCTGCAATGTTGCCGAATAAGGTAAATTTTCATCAAATTAAAAAAACACACACACAATGGGTGTGGCAAAGCACAATAAGTAGTCAAGCAGAGTTGGGATGTCCCCATTTCACAGACCTTACCAGTAAGGAGAGCACGAGTCCTGTGGAGTCAGATGCTGTGACACCACAACAGAGTGTGTAAGGTCTGCGTGGCATTGAATCCTCTTGTCCTCCAAGGCCCCCAGTGGAGAAGAGGAAAGAGAGGAGGACAACAGAGATGGACACCACACAGCGTGGATGTAACCCCTCTGAGGACCACTCGACTTCAGTCACCCTATGTTCCACTAGGAACTTGCCATTCTCCCTCTAAACTGCTGTCTTCATCACTCTGAAACGCACTGAAGTCTCCCTAAGCAGTGGGAAATCTGTCCCTTCCATGTCCTGCCTGTCCCAACTCTTGGACTGTAAATGGATCTAAGCAAACTTGCCATGCAGGCCCATATGGGAATAAAAACTAGAGATGTAGAGACGGTCATCCAGTCCCAAACCACAATGAGATGGTAATACATCAGTTTTGCTTTTTCTGCCTTCATTAAACATATATCTTCTCCCAAAAATGATTTTTGATGTCCCCAAGGCCAGCACATCGCTCTACCTCCCCCACTAGCACATTGCAGAGGGTATTTATTGGAGGGAAAATGGAGTTGTCACAGCTTAGGATGCCTTAATGCATCCCCAACCTCACATTCATTGGGAGACTCCAAAAGAATAAAATGTTTTCCATACTTCCCATTCCCAACCCCCTTGCTCTTTATTTATTTGTCATTTGGAGAAGAAACCAGATGGTTCTTTTGCGGAGGATGATCAGAAAATCTGTGAGAATACTTACCTAAAAGCAATTTTGGGAAATTGGATGTTTCGATGTTATGATAATACACGATGGACGTTGTGGTGGCAATAAATCCCATCACGGCCGGCATGAAAAGGTGGAGGTGCCTGGATGCCCGCCTCCTAGAGAGAGCAAAACAGTGTCAGTGTCTAAGCAAAGGGTTCTAGAGAATTCTTCATTGTGTTTGCAACCTTCGAATGAGAACTCACTCAGCTATGTTTCAAAGTCAGACAGCAATAGTAGTTTCTTAGACAGCATGTGAGCAAATACAACATAGTTGTGCTGAAAACATTCATCCTAACACAAAGCATTAATTAAATACAACGAAACAACAGAATCCTTAAAACAAAACATGTATACCCACCATTGTATATGTGTATATGCATTGTGTGTGTGTATGCATGGATTTATACGTTGATCTATAAACTACATGTCAATGCAGGCCTGCTGAAGTAATAATGACCAGAGCAGTAAAAACAATGAGCCAGAAGAGTGAAAGACGTATTTGAGGAAGCATGAGTGACATTGGAGACTGGAATACAGAAAGATAATGCAACTGAACGTAATATCAAGCAAAGTGAGAGGCATAAAGACAACATTTTCTCCCATTTGTGGGTCCTACTATTCTTTATAAATATATAGCCCCATTTATCTATATGTATTCAAATGTCATGGAAACAGAGTGCGGTTACGGGAAAGGAGGAGATGAGCAGAGGGAGAAAGGAGTTCTAAACAGGTACCAACAAGTCAATGGCAAAATAAACCTCCAATTGCTTTAAATAAGGACACACATTAGAATCTCTGTTTTTCCTGTCTTATAAGAAATTCAGATGAGCACACATCTGCAAAGAGCTACCACGAAGCATTATGGGAAAGGCAGCTTCCTGATGGAAGTTTCAGTCCTAGCTAACTGCTATGGGAAAACTTGGAAGTTGCAAAGGAGGTCCTATGAAATGAGAGGAAAATAGTTTTCGAACTTGCTTTTTTTTTAAACTTGAAAGGTTTCTATTATTATTTTTTAGACAGAGTCTCTCTATATAGCCCCAGCTATCCTGGAACTCACTATGTAGATCAAGTTGGCCTCAGACAGAGATCTGCCTGCCTCTGCTTCCCCAGTGTGCTGGGATTAAAGGTGTGCGCCACCACACATGGCTCCAAATCAATATTTGAATGAAAGACATCTTGTGATTTAAGCATTTCCTATTGATTGGGTGTATTCTGTTAATATGTGAGGGAAATATTTTTCACAAGCTATATTTACATTTAAAAGTGAAATCCATTGTTTTTAATTTCCTAAATTAAACTTCTTTTATAAGAAGGACAAAATTCCACTAGAAATATGACTTCATGCAAATTCTGATATTAAATTTCTCTCATCCTTTCCTTCAATCTCTTTGTCTCTATGGCTCTTGAGCTCTATCAATGCCTGCCTCATCTCTGTCTCTTTACAAAAATGATGAGAACATCTGGGAATTGATGGCTACATTAAAACATAAATTCGTAGCTATTAGAGTTATATATTCAATTAATATCAAGACATATAGAAAGATAAAGATACTTAATAGCGGTAGAGATGGTATGTATAAAGCTATTTTTAAAGATAAAGTACACATCAAAATGCTTCAAAGAACAAAACTTTCTGGATAACAGAACAAAGAAATATGAAAACACAGTACTTAGGGAAAGTCACAGAGATCTGGAATTATCCATCAGAAAAATTATGCAGTCAGACAACAATAAAGGTAAAACACAGAGGGACTAGGGAGAAAGTTCAGCAGGCAAAGTGTGTACAGTGTGGAGCTGAGTTCAGAACCCATGTAGAAAGGCAGGCAGGATGTATGTACCCGCAAGCTCAGTGCTCCTAGGAGCCATGTGAATCCGAGACACCTTGGGCGCCAGCTAGCCTGGTGTATGCAATGGCAATGGAATCACATGTCAAATAGGCAGACAGTGAGGACCGACAACAGAAACTGTACCACCCCATTCACACACATGAACATACATGCATCACACACACACACACACACACACACACACACACACACACCAGAAGCAAGCCAACGTGGTTATCCTGTATGGTGGGTGGCAGTTATCACAGTTAATAAGCCATGATCTGATCCCCTCCCCCGGCTCAGCCTGAGTGTGTGCTCTGAGCTACAGCTCTGCGCCTGCTCGCACCCAGTAAGATACTGGACAAGCTGGGTCACTTACGAGTCTGAAACAATGCCTTCTGCTATTTCACAGACATGGACAAACAGGAGTGCGAACGTCAGAATCCATCTCAGGTTGTGCCCGGGAAAATGAAGCCATGTGTTGTGATGAATTTGCACCTTTGAGCTTTGGCTCCCCCACCCTGAGAGAAAAGGGGAAAATATGATTAACAAAAAGGCCATTATAACCAGGAGTGTGATTTACGTTACTGAATGCCGCATGCTTTGGGGAAATTCCTGAAACACTAGAGCCTCACAGCAATGGAAACGTTGGTCTATTTTCTTTGTGTTAAAAATAACTATTTAAGTTAGATTTACAATACCATGGAGGCTCACACATTAACACATGGTACATTGTTCAGACATGACTCTCCACCTCTGAAACAGCGTGTTCATCACTAATGCACCCTCAACTTCTGATTCATCCAACGAGACAAATGAATAATTACAATATCTAAAGAAGATCAACATCTGTAGTCTTTTAAAACTTGAGACCTCCAGGGTCCTAACAAAAAAAAAAAAAACACATATTTGTGGTACAATAGGGGACCCATTTGTAGAGTCAATTCTGAATCACATCAATGTATTTGTGTGTGTGTGTGTTCACATGTGTGGGAGGATAAGCACATGTATGTCATGATGTACATATGGAAGTCCTCACCTTCCACTGTGTTTGACACAAAGGTCTATTATTGGTCACGGTTGACCTGTGAGATTCTGGGGCTTTTCCTGTCTCCCCCTCCCATCTTGCAACAGGAGTGCCTAGATTATAGATATGCAATAGAGCGCCTTTTTTATATGGGTTCTGGGGATTCAAACCCAGGTCCTCATGCTTCCACAGCAATGTGATGAGCACTGTTCAACTAGCATACTATGTGTTTGTCAAGGAAATTGGGGACTGTAAAGATGGTTCAGCAGTTGCATACTGATACTACAGAGGACCAGAATTCTGTTCCCAGCTCACAGATGCTCATAACACTAGCTCCAGCCATGGTCTCTGCATGCATTAAGTATACATGCATGCATACACACTTTAAAATAATAAAGTAAAATAAAAATATTTCGTCATTCACATAAGACTTGAGAATAACTGAGAATACTACTAGTTCCCGCTATGATCACAACAGAATTAAAATCAGTATTATTTCTTGCTCAGATTTTAAGTTTTTCCTCCCCAAACTATAGGTAGAGAGAATATCATCACTTATCTTACACTAGACCAGAATCCCACCTCCATTTGTTGCCCTCCACTTTCCTTCTAGATTTTGACTAAAGAAATAGACAGTTCACTTCGAAAATGAATGAGAAGTTCTGCTAGAGATATTGCAGGTAAGAAATTCTGCGTAGACCAAGGGAGACAGCAGCATCTGTGAGAAAACCCGATTCACATCTCAGAACTTCCAAATGTAACTCACAATTGAGAAGCAAGCTTTCTTAACACATACTCCTGTGGTTTATACTTTCACCTCTAGCAGGCGAGTTCTATCTCTCTCCTGTGATGTTATCATTCCCCTGGATGTCGTACTTCTTTCATACTAAGTGGCCAATGTCATAAATGAACATTCCATCAGTCCTTCTATTTAAATATCCTAGAGGTCAGCCCCTGTGATGACATTGAAGTGGGGGATATCATTGGCTAACTGTGTGTAGGGATGTGAATTATTAACTACAGACCTGCATTAAAATAGCAACGCTTAAGATACCACTGCGGAAAAACTGAGCAGGGTGTCTACTCTCTGCTCCTAGCATATTCAGTGTCTGTACATCTATTTAGCGTAATTTGCAATGTACCAAGTGTCATATTGGTCTCTCTGTACACCAGATAACAGACCATCTCTCTTGGAATGTTATTCCATGATACCTATGGATGTTTCCTTTCTGCTGCTGTGATAAGAGCTCGGACCAAAAGCAAACCTGGGGCAGAAAGCACTTAGTTTCTCTTGCAATTTCCAGTCCTTCAGCAAGAGAAGCCAGGACAGGAACTCAAGCTAGAATCTTGAAGCAGAAGTCTAGGAGGACTGCCACTCACTGGCTTGGTACCCCAGCTTGTTGAGCTACCTTTCATAGACAGCCCAGGTCCACCCATCTAGGCATGGTTCTGACTGCCTCGACTTCCCTACAAGAATTCTAATGTAGAATTGCTAACCAGATAAGCTTCTCCCCTTGCATTAGTCAAGATATTTAGTTTTACATTAATCTTAATCATTTTATATATAAAATGATTTAATGTTTTACAAGTTAAAGGGTCTAATTTTTGCAGTTGTGGTTGGCTGCAATGCCTGGAACCCCCACATCACTCAGGAGATTAAAGCAAGAGGATTTCAAGATCAAGGGCAAACTGGGATGCATATCAAACTTCAGATGTCTGAGCTGTGTAACAGAAACCTTTCTCTAGGAAAATAAAGAGGAAAAAATGAAAAGGAAATGATCTATTTTGATTGTTTGCAGGAAGCTCCTAAAATTATATATAACTGCCCTAAAGAACTGATTTGCGCATGTATAAATGGTTAAATAAAGCATAGTTACAAGATTGTTGTTTGTTTCCTGAGTCAGTATCATTGTATAGCCCATCCTGGACTACAACTCAGGCCAGCCTCCTGTCTTAGCCTCCCAGATGCTAGAACTGCAGGGTTTAGCCACCACACCCAGCCGACTTTGCAAATGGTTTCCATAAGAATCTTTCCCCCTAAGACACAACCTACCAGCCTCCTCCTTTTAAGACCCAAATGTGTCACCCTGCAATTGTTTCCTCCTGCTCCCCAGGAGTCAGCTGCTCCAGCAGGTGAGTTCTCAGGGCGCTTTTGCAAAGGGGCTGACAAGATGGAGTTACGGTGGCTCGTCTGTTCCTGTGGTCTGCATTGGAGGTGGAAGCTCTGTCTTACCCAGTTTCTATCCTGTCTCCATGCATAAGGCAAAAACAGTCCACAAATGCTTTGGTTCTGTCTCACAGAATTATCCTCGCTTCCTTTGAAAGAGTTGCTGCCACACAGCTGGCATTTTACATGTGGAATATTCTACAGCAAGCGCATACAATTGAAACACACAAAAACAGCATCACACTGTCTTCACAAACTTACACATCCACTTTCAAGGTGGAAAACTTAACACGGCATCAGACAGAACCTCCACCATCAGTGAGGCAGAAATGTGAGGTGCTACACTGGTGAGTTTGAGGACTCACCAGTGAACAGTATCAGGGAGGACGTTTGAGGACTCACCAGTGAACAGCATCGGGGAGGATGTTTGAGGACTCACCAGTGAACAGTATTGAGGAGGACGTTTGAGGACTCACCAATGAACAGTATCGGGAAGGTGATAAATAAAAGGAAGACATGAGGGACCAGGTTGAGCGCATCCACAAAGCAGGGGTTTTGGAGAACACCATAATAGATGTTATATGAGGAGATGTTGTTCCCACAGAATGAAAGGCTCATTTCTTCTTATTTGATTAGCCTAAAATGGAGAGAAGACCATGCCAGCATTAAACTTTCTTTCCTAAAATGATGGCTTTGATTGAGGGGACTATAGAGTAAATTAATGCCCTTGCTTTTGTGCCTGGGGAAGCAGCAAGGTATATCAAGGTAACTTTGGGTCTTCCATAACATTCTACTAGGCCTCTTCCCACACCTTTTAAAAAGGGAAAACTCCCGTGCAAAGTGGTGCCTCAGAGAAGTACGGATCTGACTAAGAGAAAGTCAGAGGATAAAGACAGTGCTATGGCAGGGGAAGGAGGAACGACAGTGGTGAGTGCAAAGTCGGAATCTATGATATGAAATTGTTTCCCAGGCTCATTCAGGAAGAATCAACATGAAGGGTTCCCTAGTCATGTTATCTGGATACAGATGACCGGAACGTCTCTCTCTTCTCCCATAGGAAATAGTAACAGAAGCAGACAGGGCTGCAGACAGAAGCTGCTTTTCTCTGAAGAAGAACAATGTCAGACAATTAAGACACATTTAACACAAGGCCTGGCAAGTTAAGGAGATTCCTCAGGCCTCAGGGTCAGACATCTTCTTGGGCATTTGTGATCCAATGGCTTTATTACAGTCACAGTGTGGAGCTGTCACCAAGCTAATTTTAGACACGTTCATCATCCCCAAAGAAACTTAATATTATCCTTTGATCTACTTGCTCCCATTTTCTCATCCTCCCTTCTTAAGGAAGAAGTAACATATTTTCTCTGCTTTAATTCTTTGTTTACAATGTGTGTGTGTGTGTGTGTGTGTGCGCGCACGTGCGCACGTGCAATACAGTAGGCATGTGGGGATCAGAGGACAACTTGCAGGAATCAGTTCTCCCTTCCACCATCTGGGTTAGGTGCTCAAATGCAGGTCATGCATCTTAGCAGCCAGCGGCTTTATCACTGATCCATCTCACCAGGTCTTATGTACTTTATCAACAGTATTTTAAGCACCAAGATGAGTAACTTTCTATGGCACAGGTTCTACCACATTTTAATCTTCTCACTGGTTGATAGACATTCGGTGCATTTAGACTTCTAGGTGTTATGAAAATACCACTAGAAATATTCCTACATTCGAGGTGCTCTGCCCAAGTTGAGACAAAGTCTAGCTGCTGAGCTGGAGGTCAGTGTCCCCATGCAGTATAAGAAGGTGTAGGTGGGAAGCAAACACAGGGCTTCGTGCCAGGCTTCCCGAGGACCTCAGCTTCCACCCTGTGTGAGTGTGAGCCCAGGAAGTGCTCTGGCTATGATTTTAAGTAGAAGATCTTTCTCCTTGCTAGACTAGAAAGACAGTAGAGCTTCCTCCATCAGCATAAGACTTGAGGACCCCCAAATAATCCTCCAGCAACCTGAAACCCTTTGTGTGGTGCCTACTACTTAAATAGCATCAACTTCATTCTTGGTGCTGCCCAGGTGTTATCTGAAGTCCTCAGAACAGGCATGTATTGTTGGTGATGTTGTGGGGGTTTACAGCAGACTATTCTGAGCTTTGTCACCTGGTAGACAACTTGGGATCTGCACCCACTTGTCAGATTTATGACCCGTGCTTTTCCATTCTGTCACTTAGCCACCCACCCATTTTTCTACAGAACCGATCTTAACTGTTCACATTAAAACAAATAGCAGTTTAAGAGTTTAACCTCCGAAGACTTTTCCATATTCATGTTGGATTCTGTTAGGGATATTAAAAGATAATATTTTATTAGCTAACAGCACTTGTCTTTTTTCTTTATTAATTTAATAATTAACATGATTTTTTTTCCTGAAAACAAGATGAATAATATGACAGACAGAATGTAGACAGTATTAGATAAATTGCTGGGAAAATCAAATTTCCCTCAGAGGTCCTAAAAATCATTGCATGAACATAAGTAACTAGTTAGAATGCTTGTATGGTTATATTCCAAATATTTGTGTATAACACTTCACACATATTATTTTTGATAAATGCTTTTGTGTATAAGTTACTGACAGGCTCTAGTTGAGATCTTTTTTAATAATTGCATTTTTACAACAAATTCAAAATTCAGCTATATATTTGGTAAATCATTACACACTAAAAAAAAAAAAAAAACTCACATGGGAGAAAGAATTGAAAACTTCCAAATAGTGACAAAATGGAAGTTAAACATTCACATATGTGTATTAGTAAATGTGTTTTGACGAAGATAGAAAAGCAATCTAAAAACTCATAGCTAGCAATGAGATTTTTAAGACTATTTCCTTGTTTAGTGGAAATGATAAAATGGAACTCTAAGTCATTTTTGTTTGATTCTACAGTGCAGGAGCCCAAATGCAGAGCATTGAACATGCTAAGCAAATGGTTTACTACTGAATCCACTCGATCCACTGCCCTCAAGTTCACATTTCACAGAAAAAAAAATCTAGACGATTTTATTCCCCCTGCTGTGGTCCCTGAGCCTTGCCCTGGTTCCCACTCTCTCCGCTTATATAGCCCTTCTTGCTTCCTTTTGACATCTCCTCAAATGGCCCTTTGACCTTTAGATTTCCATCTCTAAACCCACTGTCCAGGAAGCAGGTTCTAGCAGCCAGCTACAGCAAACCAGAAGGAGGGAACAAGAAAATTTATAGCAGCTATTTTAGTGTCTGTGTCCATCATAGACATTGAATCAAGATGGTGTGTGCATGGTGTGTGTGTATGTGTGTGTGTGTGTGTGTGTGAGAGAGAGAGAGAGAGAGAGAGAGAGAGAGAGAGAGAGAGAGAGAGAGAGAGAGATCAGACCCCTGTGTGTGTTCTAGAATTCAAATCCAGACCCTCAAGGTTCTAGGCATTCAGTCTATACACCAAACTATACCCCAACCTTCTAATAAATCCTTAAGTTTCCAAACAGCGTCTGGGGTTCCAGAGCTCGGGCTGTTGTGAGCATTTGAGGAAGGCTTTCCACTAATGCTCTTGAGGGCTAAACTGTCATCCGTGACTAGTGTCTTCCACCCTGGATCTGGTTAGGCTCAGTTCTGCACAGAAGTCCCAGCAACCAGGCAGCGGATCAAAAGGAGAAACAGAACATCTTTCTTCCCACACACAAAATCCCTCTGAAAGACCGTCAAGTGTTTATAACAGTCATCAGGGCTGGGGAACTGGAAGGAGCAAACTTTAAAACAAAGATCAAAAGTGAAACTTTGACTATGGGATGGCTTGCAGAGCAGAAAACAGAGGGGAGAGGATTTCTTCATGGCCTAACTTCTTGTTTCCTAGAGAGAGTAGCAACTCAAAAGCTTACTTAGTCCACCGCACCTGGGATCTATAAAATGCGGTATTAGTTCATAAGTCTAATAGCTCATCTATCAACTCAATTGACTCTTCCAAAGGAGAACAAAGGCTAACTGATGCAGTTCCTAAAACATGGCAAAACAGCACCATGCATCAGGGACGCCAGCTACTTCTGCCAGCCTCCTCCTTCCAACATCGATGAGTGAGAAGCAATCACCTACCTGCCCACCTAGTTGAAAATGTCAGTTGTGACCCACTGACAGTTCCAGCCAATCCCAGGCTCCGGAATCACCTAAAACAAACATGCACAGGCTGGCTTTCCTCGGAACACATAAAACAATTCACCTGATTACTTGGCACTTAGCACCGCCCTTTGAAGGCACCAAAGGCATCCCTGCTACCCGTGACACTCAGGATGCCCGTCATTTACAAAGACAAACGCTGCAATCACTTCTTCGAAGTTTCTCGGTAGAGACCTCACAGAGTGAGTCTAGCTAGCTGTCTGGCTGATTCTATACAGATCCAAGTAGGAAATTTCCTAACAAAAATAACCACTCGCTTGATGGAATTTTTGATCTCAGTCCATCCATTTACCCTTCAGAGACTGTGACGTTCTGTGACACAGGAAAGCCAATGATGGACACAGATAAGATTTCTTAGACACTGTAATCAACAAGGAGCAAACAAGCAGAAAATAAATAAATAAATAATAAATACCTTGAGTTTGGCTCCTGTACTCAGTCCCCCTACCGGCCACTCGAGCTACCTTCCAAACGCCTGCCCACAGTCTGAAGAAGTATATTTCAAACCAGTGCACCGGACTCCTAAAGAGCGAAAGGGAACAAATTCAATGGATCGAAAACTGCTTCGTGAATAATAATAGGAATAGCTAAGAAGTCCATACATTAATCAGTGACACCTTTCCCTGTTTCCTGTAGGTTTGGGCTCCAGCCTGCAGGGTTGTGTAAATCAGACTTGAAACTTGATCCCCACCTTCTTCTCCTCTCCAGCCAGGGCCCTATCCCCTGAATTCTAGAAATAGCGAGCGCCTAAACTGAGGAAATAGTAGATCAAAATCAACAGCTTACAGCCGGTGACTCTTCAAAGCGGTCGGTGATCGCTCTGTAGCAAGCCGAGGAGCTCGCGCGCTCCATGGGACAGCAAGTTTTCCTCCCCGGTCGGTCGGACAGCCGGCGGGTGGATTATTTTTAGGGTGGGTGGGAGGCCAGCTGCTGCCTCCTATCGCGTTTCTCCTCCGCTGCGCTGCTGAGCTGCGCTGCGCTGCCGGGCCTGACGGACTCCGCCGCGCCCAGGCAGGAAACCGCAGAAGCACGGGGCACATCGCCTGAGGCCCGGGACCCTCCCGACCCGGGACCCTCTCCACCCGGACCCTCCTCAGTCGGGGCCACGTCCACTTGGGATCCTCCATCCACCCTTCCCCGGAGCCACTTTCTGCGGCTCAGCTGCTCCGCTAGGGGCGAGCTCAGGGGAGATGTGCCAAACCAATGCCATAAGCCGCCGCGGCCCCCAAACTCCACTAGATAGTGGAACTTGCAAAAACCGACGCTTGAACCATAAAAACTAGGGTTGTCAGATGTGAAAACACGGAAGGTACCAGCTCCGCAGTCAGCCTTTGCTTTGACCACCAAGAAACAGATTTGGAGTTGTCATCCCTTCCAGCGGAACTGGGAACTGAAGGGTTCATTCTAAACAGAAGAACCCGCCACCAGGCTAAGTAAGCGCGCATGTCTTATTTGGATGGGCAGGCACAGGGCAGAAGCTTCCAGTGACCCGAGAACTTGTCTGCTTTCTAGACTTATTAGTGGCCCTTGACGAGTGATTTTGATTCTGAGGTTCGGCACCAACAGTCCTTTCCTGTTTCTGTGCTTTCACCAGCTACAGATGGGATTAACTCTTGAAACAACACAGCCTACCTAGAACAAGGTCAACTGAAGGCAGGCTGTGGTGGTGCTCTTCTGAAATGTCGGCGTTCGGGAGAAGATGCAGAGAGTTCAAAGCCCAGAGAACTACACAGAGAATTAGAAGCCAGCTACACACACACACACACACACACACACACACACACGTGCGCGCGGGTATTTGATATACATATGTACGTGTATTGTTCCATAATTAGCTTTCCCTCTGGAAGTAAGGGGTGAATTTTTAAATTTTACTTGTTTCGGGGCTGGGGATGAAGGTTTCAAACCCTGGTTTAGACTCAGACTGGCAGTAATCCTCCTGACTCAGTTTCTGGATTGTTGGGATTGCAGATGTGAGCCACAATCATGCTGGATAATTTTGACCCCACTAACTCTTGAATAAAAACCCTTGGGATTCCCAAGGGCAGGTTTGGGGTCCTTTTCAGTAATCAGCGTTTTCAGCAACTGTCCTGATCAGATAAAGGAGTCAGCCCGGCGGGTTGATGCCTGTGAGGTTCCTCATACAGTCCCCTAGGGGCCCTGGCTGCTGAGCTGAACTCAGAACCCCATGGCTTCCTGACCTCCAAGAGTTGGTGCAGAAGCTGACTCCAGCACAGTCGGCCCCAGGGGATGGGAGAACGAAGCTGCTTTCTGGGAAGATCCACGCGACCTTGGCCAGTTTTCCGGGACCAGTGTGTGCCACTGCCAGGAGCCAACAAGGCCCGAGAGAGTGGCACCTGGGAGGGTCCCGGAACTGACCTTCCAGCTTCAGAATGACATTCAATTGGACACTATAGTGAGCCTTTGGGACCGGAGGAAAAGAGTGTGGTCTGAGACCTGGGAATCTCAGAACTATGTTCAAAGTGTGGACACACCAAGTTGGGAGACAACTGGGAACTGGTAGAGAATGCCAAGTACACAGTTAGAATAGGAATACACAAAAGGAAGTTGAGCTGAGGAGTTTTTTTTTTTTTAAATACTACTATTATTGACACTGGTTTCACATCTCAGTGGTTAAGAGTGCTCTTGTGGTAGGTTCCAAGAACCCATGTAGGGATGCACAGCTCTCTGTAACTCGAGTTCCAGGGCATCTGATGCCTTTTCCGGGCCTCTGAAGGTACCAGATACACAAGGCACACATACATATGTTCAGCAAACACACATAAAAATAAAAATAAAATCCTTGTAAAGGAATTATCACTATTTTAAAGATATATATATATAAAGCAAAGCACATGGGTGGCTGAAGGAGGAAGTGCTCAAACAAGCCTGGGATATAGAATAACACCAAAAGTACACATGGATAGATGATTGATTGATAGACAGAGATAGATAGATAGATAGATAGATAGATAGATAGATAGATAGATAGATAATAGACAGACATGATGGATAAATAGATAGATATAGATAGAATGGATGGATAAAGATAGATTATAGAGAATATAGATAGTTGAAAATGATGGATGGATATAGATACGGCATGATAGATGATAGATGGAGGGTGGATGGACAGACAACAGACAGACAGATGGGGAGAATGAAAGCCAACAAGGGCCAAGGGATACTAGCTAGGATTCTGGTTATCATTCCCACTCCCTATGCCCTTTACTGGACAATTCTATCAGGTCCCCCTGACTTCAGTAAAACAAACCATGGTTCATGTGTCACAGGCTTCAGGCAAATGTAAATGGCCTTCACATTACTAATCAGACCCCCTCCCCTGCAGAAACATTCGTGACTGTGTTGTTCTCGTGCTATTTTACTATGCATGTTTTTATTATTGCAATAATAACACATAATCTGTCTCTTTTGCAGCCATTATTTTCTTTCCCATGACACTTAAAACAGGCCATAGAAATAAATTAACTTGTTGCATAATATTCCATTCTGTGGCTTAAACACATGTCCTGATATTGAGCTTGAAATTCTGGACTTTCCATACTATCTGTTCCTAAACAATTTTATTTTTTTTAATTTATTCATTTCTTTATTAATTAATTAAAGATTTCTGTCTCTTCCCCACCACCGCCTCCCCTTTCCCTCC